CCGATGCGAGTGTGGCCGAATTCGGCCGGAAACATCCGAAAACAGCCAACCCGAGGCGACTCGCCGCCGCCAGCGGCGGCGCCGTCGCCGGAGCACGGCGGAGCCGCCGTGCCGGAGTTGCGATTTGGGCCAAAAGGGGCCCTGGGCCTAATTTGGAATTTTTTTGGAACACGTGCAGGTACCAGTAGTGCGTTTTAGTTCCCCGAGAAAAATTCAGGGAAACTTAGGGACAGCCTGTGTAGCGCCCGGACCGAGAAGGAGGAGGAAAAAAAAAAGGGGCCACGTCGGCAGCCATGTCAGTAGGCCCGGTCAGCAGTCCCGGCCAACCGGGGCCTGCCACGTGGCAAGACCATGTCGCTCCGAAAAGGGGCCACGTTGGCGATCCGCGTGGGTGCGATCGGACGGCCCAGATCAATCGCGCGATCGGACGGCCCAGATGCAATCGCACGGACGGCCCAGATTAAAACAAAATGAACGGCTGAGATCAAAAGGCAATGGGTTATAAATAGAACCCCCACACCAGACCACAAACCCTAGCCACCTGCCGCTCGCCGGAGAAGACAAACCAGAAGCCGGCCGTCGCCACCCGCCGCCGCGCCGGGGAAATTTCCGACCGCCGATCGAGGTAAATTTCATACCCCCGACTCGTTTTTCCACGCTGATTCCTCTTGTGGCCAAATCGGAGCAAAAATCCCGGCCAAACGGTCGGAATACGCGGCCAAAGGCCAGCGGCGCCGCCGCGCCCCCTCTCGGTTTTGCCTCCGATGAGGCCTTTCCCGGCCTCCGTTTGATGCAATTTTTATATCACCGTGATCACCATTCTTTTCTCTACAGGTTGACCGGAGCCGAATCACCAAAACACGAACCTCGTCGGAGAGCCGCCGCACCCGAGAGCGCCGCCGCCGGTAAGCTCCGTTTTTCCGTGATTTTTTGGCCCCCCGAGGGCCCTAGGGTTGTTTTCTCACAGGGACCGATGCGAGTGTGGCCGAATTCGGCCGGAAACAGCCAACCCGAGGCGGCTCGCCGCCGCCGGCGGCGGCGGCGTCGCCGGAGCACGGCGGAGCCGCCGTGCCGGAGTTGCGATTTGGGCCGAAAGGGGCCCTGGGCCTAATTTGGGATTTTTTTGGAACACGTGCAGGTACCAGTAGTGCGTTTCAGTTCCCCGAGGAAAATTCAGGAAAA